CCCTCCTCTTTCTTTCTTTCTTTCTTTCTTTCTTTCTTTCTTTCTTTCTTTCTTTCTTTCTTTCTTTCTGTTTTTTAAATATATCTTTATTGATTTTAGAGAGAGGAAGGGAGAGGGAGAGAGAGAGAGAAACATCAATGATGAGAGAGTTGTTGATTGGCTGCCTCCTGTACACCCTCTACTGGGGATCGAGCCCGCAACCCGGGCATGTGCCCTAACTGGGAATCTAACCTCAATCTCCTGGATCCTAGGTCGATGCTCAACTGCTGAGCCACGCCGGGCTGGGCTCCTCTCTTTTCTTTAAAAATAACCTTTTTGTTGTTGTTGTTAATGCTCACCCAAGGATATTTTTTCCATTGCTCTTTTAGAGAGAGTGGAAGGGAGAGAGGGAAAGAGGGGGAGAGAGAGAGAGAGAGAGAGAGAGAGAGAAACATTGATGTAAGAGGACACATGGATTGGTTGCCTCCCTCTTGAGCCCAGACAGGGGGAGGGGAGCAAACTTGCAACCCAGGTATGTGCCCTCGACCGGGCATTGAGCCTGAGACCCTTTGGTGCGCTGGCTGACTCTCTAACCACCGACCCACACCGGTCAGGGCTAAAATAACCTTTTGTGAGGGCACCCAGCAGGGCTTCCCAGGCTGGAAAGCGCAAGTCAAAAGGTGTGTGGCCCTCCCTGCTACCAGGTGGCTGGGATCAGGCCCAAAGGCAGGAGGTGGCCACGGTGCATAAGTGTCTTCTGTCGTTTCCAGTGATGGCTTCATGAATCTCAGCATCCTCCTGCCCCTCCTTTTTGCTCTGTTGCTGCTTCTCTTGGTGGCAGCCTCACTGCTGGCTTGGAGAATGGTGAAGCGGCAGAAGAAAGGTGAGAGGCCCTGGCTGAGGCTGTGCTGGGGCTGGCTGGGTGGAAGTGCGTGTGGCTGATGGAACGGTCACCTAGGAGCCATCTGTCCGAGGGATTACCCACGTGGTTTGGAAGCTATGTTGTCCCAAAGGCCACTGGAAGCTGAGCTTCGGAGGCATTGGCATTTCACTGTGTGCCCTGCACACCCTTCCTTGCTCTCTTCTTGTCTCCGACCTGACACTTCCTCTATTTCCTGGCTTGACTCTTGGTGGCAGAAGCGGCAATGACCTTAGGCCCATTTCGGGTGTCCAGAACCTCCATGAAATTCACATGGTTGCCAAGGAGGTATTGAGCTGACGTGAGGGTAGGGAGGAGCACACACACACAGCTAATACATGCGGACACGCACAGATCACACACATGCGAATGTGCACACACATATGGTCACATATGCACACATGTACACATGCACGCGTTACACACATGCAGGCACACACAACACAGTGCGCGTGCACACAGCTAATACATGTGCACATGCACAGAGCACATGCGCCACGCGCAGTCCGCTGGGTCCCACTGGAAGCCGGGCCATGCCGCCTTTGCTCCTCCCGCCAGCGCCTCTCAGGCTGCCCTGCTCCGTGTGAATTTGNCGTGCACATGCACAGAGCACACATGCGAATGTGCACACACATGTGTTCACATATGCACACATGTACACATGCACGCGTTACACACATGCAGGCACACACAACACAGTGCGCGTGCACACAGCTAATACATGTGCACATGCACAGAGCACATGCGCCACGCGCAGTCCGCTGGGTCCCACTGGAAGCCGGGCCATGCCGCCTTTGCTCCTCCCGCCAGCGCCTCTCAGGCTGCCCTGCTCCGTGTGAATTTGCTCTTCAGGGAAGAGCGCCCTCGCTCGCGAGCCAGCATCATCCAACACAGGATCTGGCCTCAGCGGAACCCTGTCCCTGGCTGGCTCCGCGTCCACATCCTCACACCCCGCCCCCCAGACCGTGGGCCCTGCCCGGCTCCCCGGGGCCTCGCCAGCCCTCCCCCGCCCGCAGCCTGGGCCCTCGCAGCCTGGGGGGCCTGGCTCTGTTCATCGCGTTTTCTCACTTACATCGTAGGTGCTGTCTGTGCTCCCCAGTATCTAGATTTTCAAAACTAACCACCTGGGGAAGAACCTCTTGTTTCTTTGTTGCCTCTAAAGCTAGGGGGCGAGGGGAGGGCCAGGGGCANTTGCTCTCTTCTTGTCTCCGACCTGACACTTCCTCTATTTCCTGGCTTGACTCTTGGTGGCAGAAGCGGCAATGACCTTAGGCCCATTTCGGGTGTCCAGAACCTCCATGAAATTCACATGGTTGCCAAGGAGGTATTGAGCTGACGTGAGGGTAGGGAGGAGCACACACACACAGCTAATACATGCGGACACGCACAGATCACACACATGCGAATGTGCACACACATATGGTCACATATGCACACATGTACACATGCACACAGATTACACACATGCAGGCACACGCAACACAGTGCGCGCGCACACAGCTAATACACGTGCACATGCACAGAGCACACATGCGAATGTGCACACACATGTGTTCACATATGCACACATGTACACATGCACGCGTTACACACATGCAGGCACACGCAACACAGTGCGCGCGCACACAGCTAATACATGTGCACATGCACAGAGCACACGCGCCACGCGCAGTCCGCTGGGTCCCACTGGAAGCCGGGGCGATGCCGCCTTTGCTCCTCCCGCCAGCGCCTCTCAGGCTGCCCTGCTCCGTGTGAATTTGCTCTTCAGGGAAGAGCGCCCTCGCTCGCGAGCCAGCATCATCCAACACAGGATCTGGCCTCAGCGGAACCCTGTCCCTGGCTGGCTCCGCGTCCACATCCTCACACCCCGCCCCCCGGACCGTGGGCCCTGCCCAGCTCCCCGGGGCCTCGCCAGCCCTCCCCCGCCCGCAGCCTGGGCCCTCGCAGCCTGGGGGGCCTGGCTCTGTTCATCGCGTTTTCTCACTTACATCGTAGGTGCTGTCTGTGCTCCCCAGTATCTAGATTTTCAAAACTAACCACCTGGGGAAGAACCTCTTGTTTCTTTGTTGCCTCTAAAGCTAGGGGGCGAGGGGAGGGCCAGGGGCAGAGCCAGCCAACACCTGAAAGCCGTCCCCGGGCGCCGACCCAGCTTGAGCGCCGCATCCGGAGGGCAGCTGGCGCAATCCTCTGTCGCCGCAGACGACTTTCCCTGATGGGCACTCGTGTGCCAGGCACAGCCAGGCGCCGGACATGCGAGGAAGGGCAGGCTCAGCCACCCAGCAGCCCACGGCCCTCCTGAAGTGCACCAGAGTCCGTGGGACAAAGGCGATGAGGCTGACATGGAGCAAGTGCAATGAGAGCTGGGAGGGAGGGACCGGGCGCCGGGAAGGTGCGTGTGAAGGACGGGTCACGTAGGGCAGAGGTGGCATAGGCACACTGCCCGTCCAGCTGTTTCCCTGGGATGGCAGTGAGGGAAACGATTCCAGGGAAGCTGACGGCTGGCTGGGCCCCCCGTTCGGGTGATGCCACAGTTCTGTGACATGGGGAACAGACGGGCTGAGGTCCTCGTATTTTTCAAGCCGAGAAATGGAAGCTCAGAGAGGTGAACGCCCCGTGTCACAGACTGTGTCATCTGAAGAGTCGGAGTTAGAGGCAGGTCTCCTGTCTGGGCCTCACTCATCTCTTTTCTTTCATATTTCTCCCCCCAGACCTGGGGACCCTGCGAGTCTCAGGGCGGGCTTTCTAATTCTGATTGTTTTTGTCTTTTAGCTGCTGGAATATCACCAGAGCAGGTAAGAGAGTCTTTGAGGTCAGACCAGAGATACCAGACTTTTCCTCTCTGTTCTCATTTTCCATCTCCCAGGGGCCCCGAGGTCTGAATGTATCAGACAGACCATGTGCTCACGTGTCTATATCGTCCCAGCTGCAGGGCCTGGGAGGACAGAGGGGGTGCTGGACACAGCCAGGAGGGGGGAGAGCAGGGAGGGGGCAGGCACGGGAGT